TCTGCCATCCTTTCGTGGCTTTGAATACTTTTATTAGTGTCCTCCACCTCTGGGTGAAAAATGCTTTCCTTTTATACCATCTAGTCTTAGATACATCTGCCATTGCGAAGAGATTCTCATGACCTAATCTGAGCATTGAAATGTTAAAATAGCAGAAAAAGTGATTCATACCAGTAACCATGGCATTCCATAGTAATAAATCTAAACCGCAGCTTGATGAAGGTTCACTGTCCTAAAATTGGGCTTGCATGGCAAATTGTGCAATATTTTATGCTCCAAATTACAAAATTCAGTTTCAGTGATGGAGTTCTTTTAGTATCTATTTCAATTCAATTTGAAAATTTTAAGGAATACAGAACAATCACCTCAAGTCTAAAGCTTTAGTCCTGGACTAGATACCAAGGAATGTACAACACATGTGGAATACAAAAGTCTGAAATTGATGATTGCGCTTGCATGCTAACTCATCTGATTATAAAAGAAAGGTGGAGCACTGTCTTTCAAATAACAAATTTACATGAATTTTCTGAAATACACAATTTCCAATTCAAAATAGAAACAAAAAGTAACTCAGAATTCAAAAGTCTCAATTATTGTCTTGCATCACTTATGTCTATACCAGTAACATTCAGGCAGGCAGTAAAACAGTGTTGCAGCACCAGCTAGTGGTAGCAGAATGTGCATCAGTCACAACATGAAAATCACCATGAAGTGGATCATTAATTTGGAATCCAAAACAAAAAAAAATTATTCAATAACTCAATTTACATTGTTCTACCTACTTTGCCTAAATTTAAGCTATAATTAATTTCAAGTAAGGAACAGTATTCATGTTACTATTCTATTGAGCTGTTTTGTGAAAGTACATCACTCAAGTACCAGGATGGTATGTTCCAACACATCAAGAGTCCCAACAATGACTAAATAGAGGAATTTTAACTCAGATTTTCTGAACAAACGTGCTCAGATTCCCCACTACGTGTTCAGTGTATGAGGACAAATCAGACAAAACAAAAATCAACCAGCCTCTATACTTTTACCATTCTCTGCTCATCGAATTGAAGGTCTAAATAGCAGAGCTGGAGTGAAAAGTCCATAAACCATTTTTCTTACAAGTAGCTGCAGAAATGTGTACATATATAACTCAGTGATTTGATGCAATTAAAAATGATACTCCCCTTAAACTTCTTGTAAAGTGAAAAGCCTTTTGTTTAGTTTACAGCAACGTATTAACATTGAGCCAACTGCATACAGTGGAAGAAATTAATCTAATTACTTATCACAGAATTGAGAAATTGTTTTCAGTCTTATGCTATATACCCATTATGCTTTTATATCGTTTATGTCACTGGATTAATATTTCAGATGTCAAGCCAAGTGGGTAATCAGTGTTCAATAATCTTAAAACTCAGGTTTAAAGCCCACAATGATAATTTATAAATCTGATTTCAGTTAATTAAATGAAGCTGGAATAGAGAGTATGAATAATAGTGACTATATTGTTGTTAGTCCCACTTGTTCACTATAACTTCTGGGGTTTTATCCAGGCTAATCTACTGATTCTAAAACGGTCAAATGTTTGACTGTTTTGAATTATCCTAATAAATCAGTAAAAATAAATAGCTTTAGGTGGATCATATGGCTGCAAAATAGACATTGGATTCAGACATGACAAAAGCTCAACCAATCTACCTGACCCAACAAAGTCACTTAATAACATCTGGTGAGTTCTACCAGTTCTTCCCACAGACTGGTCAAGCAACTGTCTAAATTGGTACATAGTCAAATTTAGTAGCCAAAATCCCAACTTTCTTCATTAGCATTCCTGTGCATATTCTTTCCCTTTGACAGCTTTGGTGAATTGCCATGGGAAACACAGGATTACAGGGATAGGGTTGAATTGGGTGGGGGTGTGGGGTGGGTGTGTGAGTGGGTGTGGCAGGGGGATCGTGGATCGCTCTTCAGAGGGTTGGTGTGGACTTGATTTGTCAAATGGCCTGCTTCCACGTTCAGGGATTCTAGGATTCAATGAAAACAGACCTACTAGAGATGGCAGCAGCTTATTATTCATTCATGGGAAGTGAGCATTGTTGGATGGACCAACAATTATTGCTCATCCCTGCTTGCTCATTAGTTCGTGCCGAGCTGCCTTCTTAACCACTGCAATCCATTTGGTATAGGTAGACCCACAATGCCATTTGGGAAGAAGTTTCAGTATTTTGGCCCAGTGACACTGAAGGAATGGAGTTATATTTCCAAGTCAGAATGATGAATGGCTTGGAGGGGAACATGCAGGTCGTGTTGCTCTCATGTATCTATATTAACTCTAACCAAAGATTTTCCACCTGATTCCCATTGACTCCACTTTTGCTGGAGTTTCCTCAATGCCACGCTCAATTCCAAGCCTTGTTGTCAAGAGTAGTCACTCCCACCTCACCTCTGGAGTTCAATTCTTTTGACCATGTTTAAACCAAGGCTGTAATGAGGTCTGAAGCTGAATGGCCCTGACAAAACCCAAACTAAGTGTCACTGAGCAGTCTATTGCCAAGCCTATGCTGCTGGATAGCACACCATTATCCTAATGATCAAGAATAGACTGATTGGGTGGTAGCTGGGTGGGCTGTATGTGTCATGTTTTTTGTGTACCACGCATACATAGGCAATTTTCCACTGTTGAGTAAATGCCAGTGTTGCAGCTGTATTAGAACTGCTAGGGTAGAGGCACGGCAGGCTTTACAGAGCACACGAGCAGCTTCTCCCTATGTACTCTATTAAGCCCACTCAATTTGAAAAACCCTTATCAAATCTTCTCTCAGCTTCTTTCTCTCCACAAAGAACAGTCCTAACTTCTTCAATCTATCCGCAAAACTGAAGTTTCTCAGCCCTGGAATCATTATTTTAAATCACTTCTGCACTCCCCCAATGCTGATGCTTCGTTCCTATAATGTGGCATCCAAAACTGTATACAACATTCCAATTGAGGAAATAACAAGTCCCTCTACTCCTGCACCCCTTTTAGAATAGTATCCCCTATTTTATACCGTCTTTCAATTTTCTTCCTACTAAAGTAAATCACCTCACACTTCTCTGCACTGAATCTCATCTGGCACCTATCAGCCCACTCCACTAATTTGTCAATATCCTTCTGGAGTTCCACACTGTTCTCCTCATAGTTTATAATTCTCTCAAATTTCATGTCATCTGTTCACTTTGAAATTGTTCCCTGCATACCAAGATCCAAATCATTAGATAGGGTAGACGGGAAGAATATTTTCTCCTTGATGGAGGGATCAAGGACCAGGGGACACAGATTTAAGATAAAGGGCAAAAGGTTTAGAGGAGATGTGAAGAAAAACTTACTCAACCAGTGGGTGGCGGGAGTCTGGAACTCATTACTGTAAGGGCGGTAGAGGCAGAAACCCTCATACTGAAGCAGTATTTAGATGTATGCCTTGACATCACAACAGCACAAGATTATGGGCAAAGTGCTGGAGAATGGGATTAGAATAGTTAAGTGGTTGTTTTTGATTGACGTGGACACAATAGGCTGAAGGGCCTTTTTACTGTGCTTTAGAAATCTATGACTCTACTAGTACATATAAAGGAAAAGCAAAGTTCCAAAACCAACGCCAATGAAACTCCACTACAAACCTTCCTCCAGTCCAAAAAAATCCATCCCTCCTTTGTCATCATGGCCTGGACAGCATCCTTCTCTTAGACAGATGCAAAGTATTAATTTAACACTTCTGCAATACCCCCTGCCTCCACGTGCAAATCCGATTTTTGTTCTCAGTGCATGAAAGTAAGGAATAAAAACACAAAAAAAAGTGTCATTACACTTCTGTGTTTCTCTCCCCACTGATGAATCAAAATTAACATTGCGTCTTCGGAAGAACTGTCAGAACATTAACCTTGTTCCTCTCTCCACAGATGCTAACAGACTTCCCAAGCTTCCCTGGCATTTTGTTCTTATTTGCGATATCCAGCATCTGCAGTACTTTGGTTTTATAAAAACAAGTTATGATGAAGCTTTATAAATACTGGTGCTGACTCGACTGGTGTTATGTCCAATTTGGGTTGATGAACTTTAGGAAGGGTGTGAAGGTGAACAGCTACATATAGATCAGAGAAGCTGAAGTACTTATTGAAGAGAAGATTGAAATGTCAAGTAATAGAGGTGCTCAACACCTAGAGTGTATACAGAGTAGAGAAAACTGTTTTCATTGACATAGACGTCAAAGACCAGAGGACACAGATTTAAGTTGATTTGCCAAAAGACACCAAAGAGAAAAGGAGGAAAAACATTTTCTTTATTTTAAAAACTCAATGATTAATATCTTGAATGCACTGTTCCTAGCTGTGGCAAATTCAACGATAACTTTCAAAGCAGTTAGGCACTTGAAAAGAAAAAAGAAAATTCTGAGTGCACGCAAAGGGTGGGGGTGGGACTGGATAAATTGTTCCTGGATAAAGTGGACTTGAATGAGATGGGTCAAATGGTCTTCCTTCTGTGCTGTATCATTATATAATTCTATTATTATACTTGCCTGGATGAATGTAGCTCCAAAAATACTGAAGAAGCTCTACACCATCCAGGACTAGGCAACAAGCTTGTTTGGTACCTCCTGGCCTGCAGTGGTTCAAGAGGGCATGATTACTTCTTGAAGGTCTTTGGAGTGGGTAATAAATACTGGCCTTGCCAGCCACTAACAAATTCTATGATGAATAAAGCAAAAAGAAAGCTAGCTAAAAATAAGATGAATACTTAGTGACAAATGTACAAACAGTCAAAGATAGAAATCATAGTGGTCAATTCTTTGTCAGAAAAAGCTCCACCATCATTCAACAATAGACATTTTTAATGTAATAAGTGTTTTTTTTAAACATGTTTATATTACTGAAACATTGCATTGACGTAATTGGTTTGCATTTACTAATGTTGCTTTAATTCTTTTGAAACCATTAAATCAAAAACAAACCAAAAAGAAAAATTTGGTTACCTGAGTATGAATCCAGTGGGCAGGCAGATGTTCACTGTATTTTACTGCCAATTCCAATACACTCTCCCTCTCCAACAGTCCCGGACTTGAACAGATAGAAAAGCCACCAACTTGTGAAATGCCAGGTATAAAGAAATCTACCCTTTAATGGAATAATTTTTTTTTTAAAATAAAAGGATTGCAACTAACAGGAAATTTATATAACTGTCTCTTCACACAGCTCCTTAAACAGAAACAGGACAGTAGCAGAAAATAAAAATAAATTAATACAGCTTAGTCAGGCACAAAATTTGTTTCACATTCAAAGACAGGGCGAATGTGGAAAAGGAAAGTTTAGATCGTGAGTGTAGCAAAAAGAAATCTAATTGAAATACATTAGGCTTTTCAGGTGAATTGACTTCGTGGTTTAACACTACATTTAATTTACACCTGTACATATACTTATACTGGCTGATATACTGATATGTGTGATTTCAAAGGTTTCTGCATCATTTATTTATCTTTTAAATTTGGTTGTGCTCGGTACAGTGATCGTGGGTGAGCTTCCCTGAAGACTCAAAATCAATAGCAAAACTAAGTTAAACCTTAAGAATATGCTTTTTATTGCTTCCTTTGACAGCAATGCAAGCACTCCAGATTCAAGTTCACCTTAAAAGATTCACTTTGGCCCAAATGCAAATTGAGAGCGAGTCAGCATGGCTAAGATGCCTGGCATGTTAGTTTAGCTGAGGACCTTAGTGTCTGGTATTTTGCACTGCCATCAGATATTCAGAAGCTTCCAAAGGCCTGTTCAAGTGAAAGTGCTTGAACTTCCTGGCAGGATATTGGCCACTGCGGAATTACAGTACATACAGCTCAGTGAGCAGGACTGTTGTTTTATATTATCTCTATTTGGTAGGCAGTCGTGCACCTCTTCATTCCTAACTGATGTTCAAAATCTGCTGAAGGGTAGACTTGCCTAAGCAATCTTTACACATGCTTCGCAGTCAACACAGACCATTCAAGAGTGTGTTAAGGGCGCGGTGTGATGTGGTGTACACGTACTTTCAAAAAGCATTTGATACAATGTCACACAGCAGAATTTTGTACAAAGTTATATATTATGGAATAAATGAAATGAACAGTAGCAAGATGACACAAAAGTGGCCGAGGAAGGTTTCAGACTGGAGGAAGGTTAGGAGTGGAGTTCTGGGGTTAATATTGGACCACTTGCTTTTTCTGATGTAAATAAATGACCTGGATCTTGGTGTGGAGGGGACAATTTCAAAGTTTTCAGCTGACCTGAAACTTGGAAGAATTGTAAATTGGGAGGAGGACAGTGTGAACTCCAAAAGGGTGTTGAAAATTTGAAGAGTGGACAGTTAGGTGGCAGCTGAAACTCAATGCAGAGAAGTGACAGGTAATACACCCTGGTACAAAGAACATGGAGACATGGAGAGTATAAATTAAAGGGGGCTATTCGAAAGGCTGTGCAGGAGCAAAGAGTCTTGGGTTTATATGTGCATAAGTCATTAAACGTTGGCAGGATAGATAGCTGCGTGAAAAAGCATGCACAATTCTATGCTTCATTAAGAGGGGCATAGAATAAACAACCAGGGAGTTATGAAGAATGTACAGAGGACACCATTAAAGCCTCAAATGTGTACAGTTCAGTCATCATAATGTGGGAAGAATGTGATTGCGTTGGAAAAGATGAGACTGTTTTCCTTGGAGGGAAGGGCGAGGGGCTGTTGACAGGAGTTTGCAAAATTAGGAAGGGTCAAAAGGCTGAAACTGCACAGTGGCTCAGTGGTTAGTAGTGTTGCCTCATAGCACCAGGGGCCTGGGTTCAATTCCAACTTCGGGCAACTGTCTGTGTGGAGTTTGCACGTTCTCCCCATGTCTGCGTGTGTTTCCTCTGGGTTCTCTGGTTTCCTCCCACAGTCCAAAGATGTGCAGGCTAGGTGGATTGGCCATACTAAATTGCCCATAGCATTCAGGGATGTGTAGATTAGGTGGGTTATAGGGGGAAAGATTCTGGATGGGATGCTCGGAGGGTCGGTGTGGATGTGTTGGGCCGAAGGGCCTGTCTCCACACTGTAGGGGTACTAAGAAACTGTTGCCACTCACAAAAGCATCCAAAACCATAAGGCACAGTTTTAAGATAACAAGGTGTCGAGCTGGATGAACACTGCAGGCCAAGCAGCATTAGGAGCAGGAAGGCTGACGTTTCGGGCCTAGACCCTTCATCAGAAAAGGCTCCTATGATGCTGCTTGGCCTGCTGTGTTCATCCAGCTCTACACCTTGTTATCGCAGATTCTCCAGCATCTGCAGTTCCTACTATCTCAGGCACAGTTTTAGAGTGTTTTGCAAATGTAGAGAGGGAGATGGTTGTGGTTGTCAGTCATCTCAGCTTGAGGACATCTCTGCAGGAATTCCTCAGGGCAGTGTCCTAGGCCCAATCATCTTCAGCTGTTTCATCAATGAATGTCCCTCCATCATAAGGTCTGAATTTGGGTGTGGCAAGTAACAAATGCCAGGCAATGACCACTTCCAAGAAGAGACGATCAAACCACTACTGTGTTACCATCACTGAATCCCCCACTATCAACATCCTGGGCGTTACCATTGACTGGAAACTCAAACGGACTCATCCTATAAATACTGTGGCTGGAAGAGCAGATCAGAGGTTAGAAATACTGCAGCTAGTAACTCACCTCTTGATTCCCCAAAGTTCATCTACCATCTATAAAAAATAGAAGACAGAATTGTGATGGAATACTCCCCATTTGTCTGGATGAGTGCAGCTCCAACACTTAAGAAGCTTGACATCGTCCAGGACAAATTAGCCCGCTTGAGTGGCACCACATCAACAAACATTTACTCCCTCCACCACCAACTTTCAGTAGCAGCAGTGTCTGCAAGATGCACCGCACAAATTTGCCAAAGATCTTTCGACAGCACCTTCCAGATTGTACTTGCATTAGAATTTCAACAGCAGAGGCAATCAGGGTCACAGGTTGAGGGCAAAATAAAATAATTTTAACAGTCTGGACTTTGGAGAGAAAGGCAAGTTCCATATTTTCGTTGCGTAGTTTGAGGTAGCAACCAAGCAGATTAATGGCACTGACAGTTAAACGTGTACTGAATGTGCGGAGCTTATTTTAATTTTCTATGGGACATTAGCATTGCTGGTGGGTGGCATGGTGGCTCAGTGGTTAGCATTGCTGACTCACAGTACCAGGGACCCGCATCTAATTCCACCCTCAGGTAACTGTCTGTTGGAGTTTGCACATTCTCCCTGCGTCTGCGTGGGTTTCTTCCAGGTGCTCCAGTTTCCTCCCTCAGATCAAAGATGTGCAAGTTACCAGGACTGGCCATGCTAAATTGCTCCGTAACATTCAGGGATCCGTAGGTTAGGTGTGTTAGCCACGGAAAATATAGGGTAGGGAGATAGATTTGGGTGGGATGCTCTTCGGTGGGTCGGTGTGGAGTTGTTGGGCTGAATGGCCTGTTTCCACACTGTAGGGACTCTATGACCTATGGTAAGACATTCATTTGCTGGCAACTGCTGTCGAGGAGGTGGTGGCAAGATGCCTTCTTGAACTGCTGCAATCCATCTAATGAATGCACAGCCATAATGCTGCAAAGAAAGGAGTTCCAGTTTTTGGTCCAATGTTAGTGAAGTAATGGTGATACAGTTCCAAGTCACAATTACATGTCACTTTGTAGTGTTGTTTCCAAATGTTTGCTACCTTTTATCTTGACCGTAATGTTGGCTTTGGAAGATGAAGAAACCCTGGCAAGTTCATGCAGTACCATCTTGGATGTAGTACACACTGCTGTTATTGTAGTGGAGGCAGTGAATGTTTGAACTGAATGAGGACTTTAGATTTCTTTGGCTTAGCTTATTTGTATCAGTTTCCATTTTTTCTACTGACAGTGGCAGACATTCTTAAACCTCACTTTCATTCTGTTACCTGCTTTATGATGTGTGGGGAAAAAAATAGGGCCCACCTTGAAATGCCAACATTGCCAAAAAGTATATCAATTTTAATTAAGTTTTCAGCTATGTTATAGCAGATCAACATATCCTATTGAGGCTAAAAACTACATTTAAAACTATATTCTTTTTAAATACATATTTATCAGCATTTACAGATCAGTAGCTCTGGTACACAGTAATTTAGAGGAAAGTCACATTGAAGCTAAATGCATTTTGAACTGCTAAAGAACATGCACTGTACAAGAAACTAAAGCAATTACAGGTAGTTACAATAAACCCATCTAATGCTGAATTGAAGATTTACCACTGTCCTGCTTTGAAAGCAAAATCTTTGTTCATGACGACAAGGCGTAGTCTTTTAACTGTTTCAGATTCCTGAACTATTCCACAGACTTTTGCTTCAGCAATCATCTAAATGCAAGAAGACAAAGTTTATTGATTGGCAACCAAAAATAATTCTCCCACACATTAATTGGGAGGTTTCAAATATCTTGTAGATTATTTTCTGTGTTTTCCTACTTCAGTATCCAGTTAAAAAAACCTTCAGAACATAGGTATCTCTGCCACACTAAATTTAGTCATTCCACCTCTGGTTAAAAAGAACCCTTACCTGCAAAGCAAAACTAATAACATTTCCAACAATTCCATTTCCTGAAGTTCACAATAGTTTACCATTACACAAATTGACGAATATAAAACAAAATAAAAGGGACTAAAAGTTTAATGGTATCAGTGCTTAGTCAATAAATCAAAATCAGGCCGGGAGGTTGGAAAAAGCTAAAAACATAATTGAGTAGCACTTTATCTGACTACTGTACACTTGCAACAAGATAGTTAAATTAATAACAGAGATAAATGGACTTCACCAAATTGCAGAGACTTAAATGAATGGTGACCAGAGTTACAAACTAAATGATTTTTGGGTATTTAATGTTTTGAAAAGTTGGACAAAATGGAAATGCTGTTTGAATATTACAATGCTTTATTATACTAAAAGCAACATACTAACAAAATACTGCAGTTACATAAGCTAATCTACCCTAAGTTTTTCAGCTGTTGTCTTGCTACTGTCTTGTATATTTTTAGTAGGACTTTCCTATTTTTATATTCCATTCACATAGAAATAAAGGTCATTTATCTTTCCTATTAACTCATGAACTTAGATGCTAGCTTTTTGTGATTCATGGATGAAGACTCCCAAATTCCTCTGTTCCAGATTTCTGCAGTCTTGCACCATTTAAAGAAGATCCAGCTCCTCTTCTTCCAGCTAAAGTGCACAGCCTCACATTTCCCCACATTATATTGCAGCTGCCAAGTTTTTGCCCACTTGCTTAACTTGATTATATCTCTCTGTAGACTCTGTCACCTCACCTTGCGTTACAATCTATTTTTCATCATCTGCAAGCTTAGGTAAAGCACATTCACTTTCCTCATCCAAGTCAATAATAAATATTGTAAATAATTTTGCCCCCAGCACCAATCCCTGTGGCACACCAGTAATTACAGGTTGCAATAGTGAAAATGCCCCCCCTTATCCCAATTCTGTCTACTAGTAACAAAAACAGAAATTGTTGAAGAAACTCAGTGGGTCTCACAATATCTATGGAGAGACATTAAGCTAACTGGCCTATAGTTTTTTTTGTCACTTTCTCTTTCTAAATAAAAGGTTTTGCATTGACAGTTTTCCAATCTTCAGTTTTCTCCCAAATTCTAAGGATTCCTGGAATGTTACTATCAGTGCATCCACTATCTCTGTAGCTACTTCTCTTAATGTACCAGGATGCATTCCATCAAGTCCTGGGGACCTATTGATCTTTAGGTACATTAATTTGCCAAGCACTTTCTTCCCTAGTGATAGTTATTGTATTTATTTCCTCCCCACTTTTTAGTTCGTGATTACTTAGTAACTTTGAAATTCCATTAGTGTCTTCTACTGTGAAGACCGATGCAAAGTATCTGTTCAACTCCTCTGCCATTCTCTAGTTCCCACTTATCATTTCATCAGTTTTCTTCTCTTAGGGGCCTACGTTCACTTTGGCAGGTCTTGCTGTTTGTCTTGACGTTACTTGCAAGTTTACCCTCAAGGTTTATTTTCTACGTCTCTTGTTTTTGGGGATCTTTCATTCATTTTAAAACTTTCCCAAATCTCAGGTTTACCAGCAAACTTTGTCACATCTATGTTTTTTCATTGAATCTGATACTATTCTCAACTTCTCTGGTTTACCATGATTGGCTTATTCCCTTCCTGAAATCTTTTATTCCTTGTCTTTGCTGCAAGCCACAAACTAAACTATTTTCGTAAATGTTTGCTTTCGTTCCTCAACCATCTTAGTTACTAAACTCCTTTCTCGGTCCACTCCAGACAACTCTTCTCCCATTCTTTTGCAATTACCCTTACTTAAACTTCTCATAATTGTTTCCAACTCAAATTCCTCCATCTCAAACTGAATGCTAAATTCTACTATGTTATGATCACTGCTTCAACGGGGATCCTTTACACTTATTAAGCCCGCCTCATTACACATTACTCGATCTAGAATAGCCTAATCCCTAGTTGGATCCACCATATATTGTTTTCAGAAACTGTCCCAAATACACTGAATTCTTCTTGATGGCTTCCTCTGCCAAACAGGCTACCTCAATGTTCCTTCTAAAGTTCTTTCAAAACCGCCAGGTAAGCTTTTGGTAATTTCTCCTCATCGCTTCCCTGGATTGATGTTTCTTCATAGGTCTGTAGTGGTAAGGATGGTAATCCAAAGCTCATCTGATTTCATCTTCACCAAACATTCACAAAATATGTACTGTTCGGTCAGAATCACTGCATAACAGTAAAGAATAGGACTTTTTCAACTGCTTTTTTTCCTTAGTCAGCTCAAGGTTGCCAGGGTAAATTGTGCCACTCCAACAGAGAACCTGACAAAGCAGTTAACCCAGTACAAAACATAATTGTAAACTGGAACTTTCTAGCCTGTGTTAGACTGGATGCTCTTTACGTCACAGAGTATTGCACAGTTAACTTCAAGTGCCCGAAATCCTGGAACGTTTTGGATTAGCTCTGGCTATATGCATTTTTTTCCTCTTTATCGTGGGGTGGTGGGTGGATTGAGCACAGGAACAGGAATAGGGATTCAGCCCCTCTAGCCTGCCTTGACCCATATACCTTGATATCCTTACTTAATAAAAATTGTTATCCCAGACTTACTTTTGACAATTCAGTTAGCATTGACCACGATTTGAGAACGAGGGTTCCAAATCTCCACTACTCTTTGCGCATCGAAGTGCTTTCTAACATCTTTGAATGACCTGGCCCCAATTCTTATATTAATGCCCCAGTTCTAGAATCTTCAACCAGCGTAAAATAGTTTATCTACCCTGTCTTTCCATGTCAATATCCTAAAGACCTTGCTTAGATCACCATTTAACCTTATAAATTCTGGAGACAGAAAGGTCTTAAATGTCTAATTGCTCCTCACAACACAACCCCTGAAGTTCAGCTATCATGCTTGTAAACCTGCATTAAATTCCCTCCAGGGCCAAAATATCCCAAGTAAAAACCGAAAGAACTGCAGATGCTGTAAATCCGGAAGGAAAATGGAAGTTGCTGGAAAAGCTGAACAGGTCTGGCAGCATCCGTGAAGAAAAAAAACATTAGAGTTAACGTTTCGGGTCCAGTGACCCTTCCTCAGAACGGATTTTCTTCTTCACAGGAGCTGCCAGACCTGCTGAGCTTTTCCAACAACTTCTGTTTTTGTTCCAAAATATCCTAAGGTGCGGTGCCCAGATCTGCTCACAGTATTCTAAGTGGGGTCTAACTAGGGTTTGGAAAACCGCAGCATTACATCTGCACCCCTTAGATATAAAGGTCAGCATTCCATTAGCTGTCTTGAGTATTGCCTGCACCTGTTTCTGGTACCTAAGCTGCCAAGAGAACGGTGGCGGCAGTGGCAGGGCGGGGGCATAATTAGAATGTTATTAGCATTACAAAGAGAGAAGCTTCCAGAATTGCACATGAATTATAGACTGGTAGATTCATATTTTAACTATCATGCCAATAAGATAAACAGTGTTGAAGAAAATGGAAACAGCATATTCTGATCTTTTTACATTCAAATCATACGCTGGTGTGGTCTCAGAATACTGCAACACGAATCCTTGCTGCTAAGAGAGAAATTATAGACCAGCACAAGTTAGAAGAAGAAATTTTGACACCAAATTGACAAGTTGACATTTGAAAAGTAAAATTACAGCTTTCAGGAAGGATGTAAAAAATAGTATGGTGTGCTATAGTTATGTTATGGTTTATGCTATTTTCTAAATATTAGTGGAATAGAATAAAGAATTTAAATGCGTTCACAATTAAAATAGGCCGTTTAGCAACTGCAATGGTGTGTATTCAGATTTGTAATATTTTTTAATGTAAAATTAAGGTTTATACAACAGTAACACAATTGGGAAACTCTATTTTGGTGTCTCAAAATTCAACATTAAAATATTAGCCAACAATTCCATTACATTGGCAAAATGGTAAAATTATCTTCAATCAAGAAATGTTTTGATTAATTTTTGTAATAATTTCATGATTAAGAAAATCTTCCATTGTTCAAGTTTGAAATAAGAATTTATTTCAAAGCTTTGCATTAACATCATGTGAACTGACATTCAACTCACATGGAACAGACAAAAGGTGACAGTGAATAAACAGTAGAGTGGTGGAAAAAATTACTGATGGCAGCTGTGTAATGTTGGTTGATTGCAATTGCTCAATGCGCCATTGAAAATACGAATAAAACGCAATTATAAGCAATAGCTTTGACTGTGACACAAGAAAGATCACGAATGTTTGAAATTCATATTCAATATGTGAAAAGCAAATCTCCCCCTTCACTCTAATCAGCAACTTGTACTGACCTCTTGACGGAAATTGTTGACTGTCCTTTCAAGATGGCTTATTTTTCTTCTTGATGACATTGCCCTGCCAAAAGTAAATACAATGCAGCAACTTACAAAAAAGAATGCATTTAACAAATGGAGACATTCTTATTGATCTGATCACCAAACCTCTGCAACGAAACCTTGTATAGAATTGGGCACAAAACCACAGCTGACATTGCTCTGGAGTACTGAGGATGTGCTACATTGTTTTTTTTTAAATATCTAATTCAAAAGACGAGATGTCAAAGGACCCATCTAGCTCTCAAGTGGAAATAAAAGCATGATTTAAAAACTAAAAATTAATTTATTCAATAATTTGATTTTCCCGAAAATACATGGTCATGCCAAACACTTGTATTGTTTGAGAGACTGCTCATCATTTCTGTCTGAAGTAACTGTACTTCAGAACTAACCTACCAATTGTAACACACTTTAGGATGTTAAAACAAAGCTCGAAGATGATATTAAATGCACTTTCTTGATTAGTATTCAAAATGAACACCATTTAGTCACATGAGAAATATTGTCTGGGAAGCAAATACATAAATTTTATTTCTTAAAATTATTTCACTGTAAAATACTTTTGCATTCTGCAGAGACAGCTCAGTGCAAAATCTTTCCTAAAATGATGCATGATTATAATAACCAGAAGTTACCAACATAAAAGATTTGTTTTTCCAAGATCTAACTTGCAATCCCATACTTTGGATTTCATAAAGTTTAAAAGACAGCAGATTTTTATTTAAGCAACATAAAAATGCGCATCAATACTTAATTGCAGTAGTTGAGAGAACTGCCAATTGACGGATTCCTGGAAATAAAGAATTGGCTTGTGAGGAAAAATTGAGCAGGTTGGGCCCATACCCATTCGAGTTCAGAAGAATAACCAGAAACATGAGAATCAGAAATATGAACAGCAAATATAGGTTGGCACATTAGCTCCCACAGACCAAAGATGTGCAGGTTAGGTCGATTGGCCATGCTAAATTGCCCTGTAGAGTTCAGGGATGTGTAGGTTAGGTGCATTACCCATGGGAAATTTAAGGTCAAAGGGATAGGGTAGGAGGTTGGCTCTCCAGAGGGTCGGTATGGATTTGATGGGCCAAATGGCCTACTTCCACATTGTAGGGATGCTACAAGTACAGGACGAACTCAGCAGATAGAGAAACAGGGTTAATATCATAAGTCCAATGACTTTTTTGGAAGTTCTGAAGAAGAGTCTCAAGGCACTTGAAACATTAACTCTGCTTACCTTTTCAAAGATGCTGCCGGACCTACCAAGTTTATCCAGCACTTCTTTTATTTCCAATTTGCAGCATCCAAAATATTTTGCTTGTACAAGATTCAGAAGCTTTACAGGATGCATTCTGGGGGCTGTTTCCCCTTGTTTTGGTGAGGGAGGAGAGGACTTATAAAAAACTTGTGGCTCTGTATTTAAGACTGAGATAAGGATATTTTTACCCCCAGAGTGTTGTTAGCAGAATTCTCTTCTGCACACTGAAGATGAAGCTAAGGTCATTGAATATTTACAAGGCAGAATTATACAGGTTTTTTTTTAAAAATCAGCAAGGGAATCAACAGTCATGAGAGGCAACAAGAAAGTGGAATTAAGTGCACAATTAGATCAATCATGATCTTATCAATTGGCACAGCAGGGTCAAGTGCTGAATGGCCTGCTCCTGTGAAGTGTTTGTATGCAACTTACCAAATTTCTAGGTTTTTATCAATTTGGTGAAATTAAACATTGACTGACAAGAAAATATTCAGCTTCATGTCAAAACATTGCACAGAAATAGGCCATTTAGGCCCTCAGGTTATTTCCAACATTCATGGCTGATCTGTACTTTATTTACTCAGTTTTGCTCCAAATCACTTGAAATTTTCACCCAACAAAATTTATTATTTGTGGTCTTCAAAATTTCCATTTTATCTGCAACCTTTCAGGAAGCGATTTCAGGACTTATCAACTTGATCGGCATGAAAAATTCGTTCTCAATTTCAATCCTAAATAACATCTTCCTAATATATGACTATACCTTGTTATTCTGAATTCCCAGGGAGAATGATTTCTTGTATCTACTAAGAAAATCATTTTATAACTTGAATCAACTAAATTAGGTCACCTTACCTTTTCAAACTTAAAAACTCAATTATTTAAATAGTGAACCACTGAAACAGGTAGACAAGTCATAGACAAGGTTAATACAGAAATATTACTGAGTAATGACATACTAAATTACATATTACACTAAATTCACACTCTGAAACACAACGGTTACCATTATGATGGAAATTGGAAGTGCCATGTATGGAACACAACCAAATTATGATAAGTCGCAGTAATAGAATGTTATCCAATTTTGATGGTTATTTTGGGATAATAGGTTTGAAAAAGGCAACAGTTTCACAAGTGCAAATGGAAGATTTTGCTGCAATTTTTGGCCTCATGCAGAAAATCAAATGAATCAGGTTAGTGTTGATTTTGGGGCAAGTCATGAGCATGGGCATGATATCTTACAGGCAAAATGCATTTGATGGGCTAAATAGCCTTTTTGGTTCAGTAATTTATGCTACGATTGGTTGCTGTTAAATAACAAGGCTATTTTAAAATAGGTACTATATCCTTTAGTTTTGAGATTTTCCATTTTCATGTAGTGATTATTCAAAACAACACATTCAATATATCTATGCCACTATGCCCTCCAGATGTGAGGAGAGTAACCAAACTGACGAAGATTTCTTTTTAGTGCTATATCTGGTTCATTCCAGGGAACTACTGATACATGACTGTGTGGTGCTATGGGTTACTGCACTGCGCTTTCATATTTGCAGCATACACTATCCAGAGCTATTAGGAAGAACATGGTTTCGATGTTGCTTGCAATAATCCCAAATAAAAGATGCATAACTAATTTCAACAATTACCTTGGTATAGACATATTTTGAATGATCTCATTTCTAAAAAAACTGGGCCATTGGATTGATTAACACTGAGCTGAAAAATCCACATAGGCATGCAAATTGTTAAATAACAAAAGAACAAACTTTGCATCGATTATGTTATTGAGCATCTAGGTATTGAAAACTGGGAAGCACTCTATTCCCAACAGACGTTTATTGAGTTTACAATTCATCCAGTCCAAAGCACAATTAGTGACAATGGATTACTGTCTGGCTCGGACTAGCACACCCTGATTGGCAGTAACATATACTTCATTTAGTATAAAAACTTGAAAAAAAAATATAATTTTTTCTTCAAATTCATTCACATGATGTGGGAGGACTGTCTAGGCCAGCATTTATTGCCCATCCCCAACTGCCCTCAAAGTGATGAATTGCCATTATGAATCACCACAGTCCACATACTAAATTGCAGAGGTTGCCAGCCCCTGCCATCCTACGCATCAAACCCCAGTTAAAAGTGCTTAGACAATCCACGCTATTCCACTCTGCAATATCTTCAAACTTGCACATGAGCATCGCTGGCTAGTCAGCATTTACTGCCTGCCCCTAGTTGCCCTTGAGAAAATGGTCATGAGCTGCCTTCTTGCACTGCTGTAGTCCATGTGCTATAGGCAAAGCCACAATACTGTTGGAACCCACCTTGTCTTCATTCTGTCCTATATCATTGAAGCTTCAGCCACTTAAATTACAGTGACATTTCTTCTTAAATCAACCTGCTTTCCAGACAAGTTCTCAAAATTTAGCTCTTTGAACATACCTGTGGTGACTTCATTACCCTTTCTCACTGTTTACTACCCAATACTTGCACCTGTATAACTCAAAGGGTTTTATTTTTAATCCTTCATTACAGTTAAAGGCTACATTGTCTGCAGTGAGAAACATTTTAATGTACTTTCATTCTTTACAAAAAAATGTAATTACATAATCACTTAAACATGGGAAACTTATTTTTTGCTTCAAATCACCATTACAAATCAATCAAATTTGAAAAAATGTTACAAGCGGCAACGTCTTTACAAGCAACAATCAGCATCACAAAAGACATGGTACAATTTAGAAGTTACTATTATCCACTGTTACTTCAAAGTGGCTATTTCTCTCACAAATGGAAATCATAATACCAATCCAAACCCAGTCCTGTCCAATGTCTATAAACATCCTCATTCAAGCAAGAATCAATGATTATTGATCAGGAGAGGAAACCTTTTGTGAAACTAGGATTCAAGTGTAATTGTAGCACCTAACCACTGTACTGGTTCAGGCATATACCAGGTTTGATTAAACCAGGTAGATTTTGCCAGTAAAACACATAGGTTCCTGATATTTCAAGCAGTGTGTGCAAACACTAAACATGATTTAAGGCAGATGTTGGAGCTAGAGGAATTACAATCAAATCTGGAACTCTGATGCACACACGTTGTATCATCATAAAATATTCTACTTGTTGGTAAAGGCCACACACCAATAAATTAATTAACAAGGTTGGATTTATGCAGTGAGATGTATATAAACTAAACTGCACTGTCAACATATGATACAAGGGTGACATATCATACAAAGTTCCTAGCGGACTTGACAAATGTGGAAAGTCTGGGACCAGAGGACACAATGCCTGAATAAGGGTTTGCCTATTTAAGACAGAAATGAGGAGGAATTTCTCCTCTCAAAGGGTAGTGAATCTCTGAGATTCTGTTGGGTCGTTAAATATATTCAACCTGAGATAGGCACAGGATCAAGGGCTTTCCGGAAAAGCCAGGAAAATGGAATGAAGCTGATCTTATTGAATGGCAGAGCAGACTCAATGTGCTGAATGGTCCGCTTCTGCTCCTACTTTTTGTAGTCTGATGGTATAACCCTCATTCCCAGTTTAAACTGGGAAATTTGTAATGCATTTACTCACTAAGCCATGCTTCTATCAATGATGCCAGTGGGATAAGGTTGCATTTTGAACGGCAATCACTCTCACTAAGGAATGTTGGACTGGAGTGACCGCACCGATGAACTTCAGTGAATAAAGGTTCATAAGGAGGAGGTGTTAGCAATTCTGGAAGGTGTGAAAATAGATAAGTCCCCTGGGCCGGATGGGATTTATTCTAGGATTCTCTGGGAAGCTAGAGAGGAGATTGCAGAGCCTTTGGCTTTGATCTTTATGTCGTCATTGTCTTCAGGAATAGTGCCAGAAGACTGGAGACTAGCAAATGTTGTCCCCTTGTTCAAGAAGGGGAGTAGAGACAACCCTGGTAATTATAGACCAGTGAGCCTTACTTCGGTCGTGGGTAAAGTGTTGGAAAGGATTATAAGAGATAGGATTTATAATCATCTAGAAAGGAATAATTTGATCAGGGATAGTCAACACGGTTTTGTGAAGGGTAGGTCGTGCCTCACAAACCTTATTGAGTTCTTCAAGAAGGTGACCAAACAGGTGGATGAGGGTAAAGCGGTTGATGTGGTGTATTTGGATTTCAGTAAAGCGTTTGATAAGGTTCCCCATGGTAGGCTATTGCAGAAAATACGGAGGCATGGGATTGAGGGTGATTTAGCGGTTTGGATCAGAAATTGGCTAGCTGGAAGAAGACAGAGGGTGGTGGTTGATGGGAAATGTTCATCCTGGAGTTCAGTTACTAGTGGTGTACCTCAAGGATCTGTTTTGGGGCCACTGCTGTTTGTCATTTTTATAAATGACCTGGATGAGGGCGTAGAAGGATGGGTTAGTAAATTTGCGGATGACACCAAAGTTGGTGGAGTTGTGGATAGTGCGGAAGGATGTTGCAGGTTACAGAGGGACATAGATAAGCTGCAGAGCTGGGCTGAGAGGTGGCAAATAGAGTTTAATGCGGAAAAGTGTGAGGTGATTCACTTTGGAAGGAGTAACAGGAATACAGAGTACTGGGCTAATGGTAAGATTCTTGGTAGTGTGGATGAGCAGAAAGATCTCGGTGTCCATGTGCATAGATCACTGAAAGCTGCCACCCAGGTTGATAGCGTTGTTAAGAAGGCGTACAGTATGTTAGGTTTTATTGGTAGAGGGATTGAGTTTCGGAGCCATGAGGTCATGTTGCAGCTGTACAAAACTCTGGTGCGGCCGCACTTGGAGTATTGCGTACAGTTCTGGTCACCGCATTATAGGAAGGATGTGGAAGCATTGGAAAGGGTGCAGAGGAGATTTACCAGAATGTTGCCTGGTATGGAGGGAAGGTCTTATGAGGAAAGGCTGAGGGTCTTGAGGCTGTTTTCGTTAGAGAGAAGAAGGTTAAGAGGTGACTTGATAGAGACATACAAGATGATCAGAGGATTAGATAGGGTGGACAGTGGGAGCCTTTTTCCTCAGATGGTGATGGCTAGCACGAGGGGACATAGCTTTAAATTGAGGGGTGATAGATATAGGACAGATGTCAGAGGTAGGTTCTTTACTCAGAGAGTAGTAAGGGCGTGGAATGCCCTGCCTGCAAAAATAGTAGACTCGCCCACTTTAAGGGCATTTAAATGGTCATTGGATAAACATATGGATGATAACGGAATAGTTTAGGTTAGATGGGCTTCAGATTGGTTTCACAGGTCGGCGCAACATCGAGGGCCAAAGGGCCTGTACTGCGCTGTAATGTTCTATGTTCTATGAATAAAGTATATTGATCAAGATCAGAAAGCAGTTGGTAGTTTGTCTAATATTCAAATTTTCAACCCTGACAATGTTTCCTTCTATCTTAATTGCTAAGTGATGTGATTTTAAAAATCTGACTGATCATTAGCCTACATTAAAAACAACATTGCATGACTAGAGTTGGTGCAAAGTAACTTACTGGTGCCGTGGATCTAACCAGAGAATGAGTGAATGAGATACTTGATTCATGATTTGAGACTGAATTTACATATCAAGCAAATATCTTTGAGAGAAAAACTTTCAGCATCTGTGGTGCTGACACCCCTGTCGTACCTGTGCTCACATTGAGCCAGTCATGGTGATAGGTAATTCAGGATGGGTGACCAGACTTCAGTGAATATTATATTAAGTGAAGAGCAGCCATGGAAGATAGGAGTAGGAGTAGACAATTCAAATCCTCAATCCTGTTCTACCATTCAATACGGTCATGGTTGATGATCAACCTTAATACTCTAATCCTGCCCTGCTCCCATATCCCTTGATGCCTTTGGCAACAAGAGATATATCTACATCTTTCTTGAAAGCACAGATGATTTGGCCTCAACCACTTTCTGGGGTAGTGAAGTCCATAGGCTCACCACCCTCTGGGTGAAGAAATTTCTCGTTGTATCAGTTCTAAAAGCTACCCCTTATACTTAAACTATGAGCCTTGGTTCCAGACTCCTCCACCATCAGGAACATCCTTCCAGGATCTAACCTGGCTAGTCCTGTTGGCATTTTATAGGTTTCTATGAGATCCCCCTCAGGCTTCTAAACTCCAGCAAATATAATCCTAACTGACTCAATCTCTCCTCATACATCAGACTTGGCATCCCAGGAATTGATCTAGCAAACCTTCACTGCTCTCCCTCTATGGCAAGAACATCCTTCCTCAGATATGGAGACTAAAACTGCACACTATATCGTACACTGTTCTGAGGAAAGGTCACTGGACCCGAAACGTTAAATCTGTTCTCTGCTCCACAGATGCTGCCAGACCTGCTGAACTTTTCCAGCAACTTTGTTTTTGTCACTATATTCCAGGTGTGGCCTCACCAATGCCCTGCATAATTGCATACCTGTTCCCGTCCTTAAATGCTCTTACTATGAAGACCAACATACGGTTTGCCTGTTGTACTGCCTGCTGTAGCTGCTTGCTTAGTTTCAGTGGCTGGTACACGAGGACACCCAGGTCTCTTTGAACATTGCCCTCCCTCAATTTACAGTCATTCATTGAGTAAAATGACGGTCCTATTTTTGCTACCAAGGCAGGCCAGCTTACCTTACAGATCTGGAATGACAGTGACTCCAGGGCCCAGACAACCACCTGGAAGGGAAACAGGCAATTGGCCCGACAGCAGCTCCTCGGAACACGAGCCGGAGAACAGCTCGGGCCATGGACATGGTCAAGGCCATGGACACTTCCCACCAACCGGCCACTAACAGACAGCGCTCGCTCTGCGGCTCGCGCGGGCCCAGTGAGAACTCCCAGGCAGGCCGTGCGCACACACGTCACAAAACAACGTCATGTGACATGTAAGGGCCTGGGTAGGAGGGTCATGACCTCTGTTGGCTTCGGCTGTCAGTAGAAGAGTGTAGTGTCTAACACGAGTAAACTGTGCAGTTTTCCAGTTTAAAATAAGGCTTCCTAGAGAGAAAGAACTCTGATTGTAATCTGCTGCTGTTATTAGTGCTTCTTTCTTAACTTTGTGACGGATTTCTGTTGATTGGTCGGTTTTAGTTCCGTTATTTTATCCATCACTATTTTATCTTTCTGCTGTTAATTTTATTGAGTCCCTGCATGTCCCTGTTTCAGTGAATAGTTTCCTTGGGATTTCAGGCATTCTGACTTTGCTTCTTCACCTGTATACTGTGGGGCAAAGTCATATTTCCATTTTCTTATTTGATAATCTTATTAGATGCCTATATCGCTTTTTATCCTAATAAAGATGTGGAATCTTAGAATGTTTACATGCCATGTCTCTGCTCGTTCTCTGAAGGAGCAATTCAGCAAATGTTACTCCCATGTCTTTTCACTGTAGCTCTGCAATATTTTTTTCTTTCCTCATAATGATCCAATACCCGTTTGAAAGCCCTATTCCACCACACTGTCAAACAGTGCATTACAAATCCTAACCAGACTGCATAAGAAAAAGAAAGTTCAATTGCTTCTTTTGCCAACCTCCTTAAATTTATAATTTGGATTTGATCTTTCCACTAATGGAAACAGTTTCTGTTTCACTACTCTGCCCAAACTGTTTTGAATACCTTTAACCTTAAATACCTTCTTTTCAGTCAGGAAGCATCACTGGGTTAAGGATGCCTGAACTGTCTTGAGAGCTCCCTGGATGGGTTGAAACATAAAGATTACCATGAGTTTGCAGTTTATGGATTTTAACATCTTATGTGTTATCAAAAGATTCATTATATTATAATTCTAAAGTGGAAGAAAACATCATAAGTTTGGTTTGTATTTCTATATCGTGTTAAAAGGTGAGGTAAGTCATAGTTTTAGTTTAATTGTAGATATATTCTGAGCAATACATGGTGTCTGGAGTTTGGTTACATGTGTTTTAGTGAGGAGGTTAAACCTTGAGTGAATTACCAAAAACAATTGCAGCTACGTCATTTGAACAAAGAGCCTTCATGTGGAGATAGGGTGATCCGTCACTGTGATTTGAGTGTCTGTAAGGTTGTTGAGGCCAAAGAAGTTGTAGTTTTATTTCTGATATCGGTAATAAATATTTACTAAATAGTACCAATATTACTCGTTGATAATTAAATAATATATTCAAATTTTGTTTATGTAGTGTAATATAGTTCACGTTTATTTTTCCTTTTGTGTGATAAACTTTTATGCCTTATGTTGAAAGTGTATTGGCAACCCAATGGTAAAATGTTCAATGACTGACCATCATGTTAAACAAATAGCAAAAATAAAAGTTGTGGTCTCGCAAGCCAACTTTCACTCTGGAATCTGACTTATCGACTAATATTGGGATCATAACAATATATACATATGAAATATTATGATTTGGTACAGTATTAATTCGTGGTCATGAACAACTTGTCATCACTCTCATTCACAATCAATACATCATTCATATTGTAACACACTCCGAGATTCAACATTATACCCTCCAGAACATATGCCATTGTTTGTGCCTTGAACATTGTCAATAAAATTTTAGTGTACTATTTTTCCTGCCATAGTTTGAAAATGTTACCAGGAGTTCCCTCCTTCCTGATTCTGCACTGACCAAACTCAGGACACTAACTTCCGTTTGCATCTATTTGGGTTTAGTTTTAAATTGAATATTCTCAATAGCTGATTCTATGTTGTCAATTAAGTCTTGAGCCACGACATGGAGTAAGAGCTGACTGCTGTGAAAAGGGCTCATAGTTTGCCTTCTTCTGACAATTCTGCACTCTGAAAGAACTATCAGAATTTAAAGTACTGCTCTGCACATCTCAGGGAGCCCAGAGTGGAATTTCTTGGCAGAAACGCAGAGCACTACTTTTGTAGAAAAAAACCAGAATGGCTAGAATAGCAATCTGCATGAGATTGCCACTCCTTGGAATATCCGGACCAAAGTTTTTATGGCAGAAGTCCATGCCATTGCCAGGACCTCCTGAGATACTTGCCACCAGTGCTGTATTTAAACCACAGCTCTGCACCAGGTCAAGCACTATCAGTCAGGAGCTGCCATTCACAGTTGCAGTCTTGGAAGAATTGCCTGGGAAATGGCTGACAGAATCAGGTTGCCACTCCAAATTGCTGACCGGGACCTGGAGGTACTGGGGGATGAGATGGCTGTGAGGAGGGCAACCCTCTTTCCTCACAACTACCAGAGGAGACCACAATACCAGACATTGCTTTTGCCTTACAATAGGATCAATCAACTCGTAAAATCTTCCTGTTTTCTCTCTGGCAGGTGGTTAAGAATGACAATGTCTTTTGGTCAGCCATGCCTAATGCAGAGTGGTGTCTGTCAACCTGTAACCTCTAGTGATATGATGGTGACCTGTTTCAGGACAAACTCATAATGCAAATAGACAGTCTAGAATGAGAGGTGATAGTTTTAGGATAAAGGGTACCAGATATAAAACAGAGATGAGGAAATATTACTTCTCTCAAAGGGTGGTCAGTCTAGAATTCACTCTCCCAGAGCACAGTGGATGCTGGCACATTTAAGGAGGAGTTAGATAGATTTTTAATTAGTAATGGAGTGAAGGGTTATGGTGACCGAACAGGAAAGTGGAGTTGAGGCCAAGATGAGATCAGCCTTGATCATATCAAATGGCAGAGCAGGCTTAAGGGGCTCAATTGCCTACTCCTGCTCCTGGTCCGTATGTTCTTTGAAGTATATGGTTAGTCTAGTGCACATGGCAGTAGGTGTGGGAAGAGGAAAAGAGATATTCATTGATGCAGAGTGAAAAGTAGGAAGTCACTTCATTGTTTTTGTATTCTGAGTTTCTTTACAAAAATTTATAGAGAAAAACATGAGAGAATATAGGAGAAGTTTGTGCTATCTGCAAGAGAGGTATACATTCTTTTAAAATATCACGAATTGTGATTCATCCACAGGAATTAAATGACACAACAACAGAAATTCATTTATCCTCATATCCCAACAAAACAGCAGAATATTGACGGACATCGATTTTTTTTGTTCCTAGACATTAAAAATCCTACTTTCTATGTTGTAATGGGAGTAATTAATTTTCTTTGCTCAAATAACATTTAATATGTACTTCCTTCTCCTTGCCACAAGATGGCAACTTTAAGTGGAAAAGATGATAGATTCAAGTGCTTTGCAGTATATTTTCAACATTTGTTCAGGTGATGTGAGCCTTCTTGGCAAGGCTACATTGCTGCTGTTGTGCACACGTGGTGAAGGGAGTGAATGTTTAAGGTGGTGGATGGGGTGCTGTTCAAGTAGGCTGCATGGTCTTGCATAGTGTTGAACAACTTGAATATAGATAGATCTGCATACATTTAGACAAGTGAAAATTATTCCATCAAACTCCATAATTCTACCTTATAGGTAGTGAACAAGATTTAAAGAAACAGAAGATGAGTTACTTGCCATAGAATTCTTATCCTCTGGCTTGTTTTTACAGACATAGGATTTGTATGGCTGGTCTACTTAAGATTTTTGTTGATGGTAACCCCCAGGATGACAATGGTGCAGAAATCAAGTGGTCATGTGTTCAATGTCACAAAAATTATGACTGGATTCTTTCTTGTTGGAGATGGTCATTGCCTGAATCTTAAGGAATCCCATGCCACTTATCAGCCCAAACCTGAATGTTATCTGAGCATTTATGCATGATAGTATTGTTTCTAGTGAAGCCAACAGTAGAAAACAAATCTAACCATTAACAGGCATTTCCAACAAACATAATATGGAAAAGACCAAGGGGCGTCTAACTGAGTTCTGGACAAAGATTGCTGTAAGATCTTGCGTCCCTCATGTATTATCAACCTCAATATTCTCAACAGTCCTGCTGAATTATTGGACAAAAATGAAGAAGTTGCATTAAGATGTACTGTGTCTGATTAATGTATATCTGAATTCCAAAATGAATGATAAATAACTATTTACATCTTTAAGCTCTAATCAATTATTGAGATGCCTCGCAGTTAATATCTTAGAATACCTATAAGAGACATGCTGATGATAACATCACGGTCAGCACATGATCTGAGGGTATGATGGTCTCAGACTCCAAGGGAACTTGCAGCATAACATGCTGATGGAAGTTTGTAACTGAATTGCTTAATATAAGTCCAGACACTGGAGTCCCTGCGACCGGAGTATTTGTTAACAGGAGAAGCTGAAATAAACATCTGTTGAATCTGTCAGTACCATGTTATCTATGTCTATATTTTTTACAGTAGGTATCGTAAAGATGTCATTTCAGGTAGAATTATTGTGCTGGATACAAAGTCCACACAAATAACTTTTTAAGCCTTACAGTCCCTTGTTAAGGCTAGATTGTTTTACATGGTTTCCTTACGAAGTTTGAAGTTTGCATATCTCCAGTCCTAGCATACAGCCATTAATGATATACAAGATCAGAAAACTGGCCATAGAGGTCAAGAGACCAAATATACAATGCTTTCAATCTTCTGCTGTTCGCGTCAACTTCCATTTCTGAATTTTCAAGTTGTACTCCCATCAAATGTGGTTTTAGGCTAGAATGGAGGAGTATCAAACTAATCCTAAAGGTATACTTTACACATTTCAAATAACGTTTAAAAATTTTCCTTGTTTCTGAAATGTTGCTCCTTGTGTACGAAATGTTTGCTGTGTTGTGTAGCTTGTTTTAGTGCATTTTGGTACATTCATCACTAGATGTCACTCTAGTAATGACAATAGTCCTGGAAAATAATTGTTTAATAATTGTTACAGAGATAGTAGGAACTACAGATGCTGGAGAATGTGAGATAAAAAGGTGTAGAGCTGGATGAACACAGCAGGCCAAGCAGCTTCAGAGGAGCAGGAAAGCTGAT